GAACCATCACAGAGTTCACTGGAAGAGAAGCATAAAATGTGATTTGGTTCTCTAAAGCTCCCTGCCCCTCACTGGTTCTCCAATTGTCTCCATCTGTACCCAGGGGAAATGGGTGACCCCTGCTGTGAGCAAGCCTAGCCCTCCCCTTGTGCCATGGCCCTTCCCACCCTTTCTGCCCCCTCCTGGTCTAAGACCTTGGCTTCCTCTGGCTTCTCTATTTTCAGTCTCTTTCTTTTTAGAAGCTCCTTCCTTTACAATCTACAGACCATACAAGTCTCTCCATGTTCAATCCAGAGGGGGCCAACAAAACCTTCTCTAGATCCTTTGTGCCTCTCTGGTTTCACCTTTCTCATCTTCTTGTGTCGTGGGTTTTTTTTTGACACAATAGACTGACCCCCCAAGGGCTCCATTCCCTCACCTTCTGCTTGGCTTTGGAGTTACAGGAGTCTGTATGTTTATTAAAGAACATTTGAATGAAAGAACACAAAGTTGAAACCCCAAGTTGCTCCATGATCCAAAAACCCAAAGATACAGTGTCATTTTTTTAATCATATTATTGTACTGGGGCTACATTGTGACATTCGCAAAAGTTCTTACAATATATCGTAGTCAAATTCATGCCCTCCATCATTCTGCTTTATTCCCTCCTCCCCCATTCCTAAAAGTTTCAGCAGATATCATTTTTACACTTTCATACATGAGTACATAGTATTTCTATCACATTCGCCTTTCTATACCCTTTCTTTATATCCTCCATTCTCCCATTGGTACCAACCCCCATACAGGACCTGTTTTACCTTGTTGTTCCCCATCTTTGAAAAAAAATTTTTTGTTCATTCAAGATACCTATCCAGGGTGTTTCATTGTGACATTTATATATATATGTATTATAAACCAAATTGGTTCATCCCCTCTATTTTTCTCCTTTCTACCTTAGTCCCCTTCTGCAACAGGTCTAAAAATTCTATATTCATTCTTGTATAGAAAGTACATTAACCTTATTCACCCTCTTAACTTTCAAAGGTAACTGTTACTAATACTGTTTTTGGTACTTTTTCTTCTAGAATTTGCTCTCTGTCTGTGAGTATGTAGAATTAGGATACTGTTATATATACAGCTTTGCACCCTGCCTTATTCTCTTGTATACATGAGTTCAACTCAGTGAATTGAGTTCCTCAGAGGCTATGTCAAGTCTCACCTCTTCAATAAGCCTTTCCATTAAAATCTTCTTTGCTGGTTTTAATATGGCCTCTCCCCTCTCCCCTCCAACTCCCACCTCACTCCTTTGACATTTGCACTTTAACACTCAACTGGGCTCCATTAGGATGCTGTCAGTGACCTCTAACTACTTCCTGGGCAGGGACTATGCTGCGAACCACTCCATCAACAAGGTCTAATAGCACCTAGCTGGCATAGACCCCTTGGGGGTTGATCCAGTGTGTGGTGGATACAAGAGTAGTATGGGTGAACACAGAGGCTTCTCTGAGCATCTGGTGAAGGCTGGAGTCAGTGTGGTGTTCACACTGCCTGAAGTGGTTCATGAAGGTCAGCTAGCAGTAAGGGCTGAGTGGTGCAGGGGGCTCCTACAGAAATGGGGCATGAATAAGCCCTGTTTCTTTTCCAATGCCTCGCATTAAACTAGGACTTGAGAAGAAATATATTGAATTGATCTGAATTTATACATTCCTAAAAATCCATGTTGATCAAATAGTTCAAAAAACATGTATTGAGCTCTAAGCCACCTTCCTCACTCCTCTTCCATCTCTCCTCCCCAGCTGCCCATTTGGGAGCCTAGGGAGGCAGAACGAGCCACCTGCAGGTGTGAACTGCCTCCTTCTCCCTGGAGACCAGCTAGCTTTCTCGCCACACCACAGCATATCTTTCTCAGCCCCTGGGTTCCTTCTGGCCTCCAGCATCTCCTCCCTCACCAAGAATGTGGTTTCTCTGAGCAAATGGATTTTTCTAAGTAGAGGCATCACTGCCAGTTTCCCCAGGGCTCCTGTAATGTGCTGTGTGTGCCCAAGCAGCCAGTTCCATCAAGCATTTCATTATCTTCCTCGGATGTATTACTTTCCCTTTAGCTCTCAAGAGACAGTTTGTTATCTTCTTAACAAACCTTAATTATTTACAAGCAATCACTGAGGCCTCAAGCTGGGTCTCCACACCCCGGCTTCTTAGGGAGGTTAAAGGACCTCTTCCGTTTTCATGTGGGACATCTTGCAGACTCAGCTTCTTCTCTCTGGGACTCGTGGGATCCTTCATTTACTTTTGGGCAATTTCCAGCACCTCATGGGATAGGTTCTTCTACCAAGTTTCTAAGACTATAAATACCACCATCCTTATGTGTAAGTTCTCTGTAACTCATTCAAAGAGCACTCATTGGAGCTCCTCCTGTGTGTTGGGGCTTTTCCGAGCCCTGAGGATGAGAAGGTGAGGAGTACACAATGACTATGTAGGATGCTTGTGGTGTACTTGCCTTTATGTCAGGGTAAATGATGTGTGCTTAATGTTAAGTCATCCAACCCTTGCAGCAACTTTGGTTGAAGAATATGGTTGTTCTCATCTTACAGTCGAGGAAGCTGAGGCTCAGAGAAGTGAGTTAAATTTTCTAAGATTGCACAGTTAGAAGTAAGAAGGAGAATGCCAGCCTGGACAGTTTGGTGGGAAGATTTTTATGATTCCTCCTTGTAGGTAAAAACACTTGCTCTCCCAAATGGGATGCCACTGGAGGTTTATACATCAATACATTGCTAACTATTAACAACTTACAGCAACTGTGTTAGTCAGTCTTCCATTGTTGTGGTCAAACACCCGAGAAAATCAACTTAAAAGAATAAAAGGTTTAGTTTGGTTCATGGTTTCAGAGATTTCAGCAATGGTCAGTTGGCCCCATTGCTTTTGGGCCCAAGGTGAGGCAGAACATCAGCCAGGGGGCATATGGTAGAACTGGTAGCTTACCTCATGGTGGACAGGAGGCTGAGGGAGGGAGGGCTGGAGAAAAGATCGAGTCTCCAATGACATCATCCCCAAGGACCCTCTCTTTTCAGTTAGGTCCCATATTCTAAGTTTCCATAACTTCCCAGTAACCCATCAAATTATGACCCATCAACACATAATTCATTGATGAGGCCAAAGCACTCATGAGCCAATAACTTCCCCCAAATCCCATCTCTGACCAAGCCTTCAACACATGAGTCTTTGGTGAATGTTTCATATCCAAACTACAATAACTTAGCTTATTAGATGGATGTTCCTCTTGAGTGTCAAATGAGCTCTACCTTGAGAAAAAGGGGGAATAGGGGAGCAAGGAGGGAAGAAAGATTTCTGGAGCATGAAGGGCATGGATCAAAGGAAGCAACAACTGGGGAGAGCTGCAGGTATGGGCAGCAGGGTGGGCTCAGAGCAATGTCCAATATGAACTAATACAAGGATGCAGAAAGGGAGGTGGTTGGAAGCATCTAGAAATGAACTTCTCCACTTCCCAATTTTCTAGTCATGGATTAGATGTCTCACCTGGTGTCTTTGTCTCATCCACTGAGTGGGGATGCAAAGACCTCACAGAAGAGAAAATGAGGGATGGCAGAGCTGATAAGCCATACGGCTTATGGAAAGAAGAGAAAGGAGCCCCATGCATTAAAATTATTAAGAAGTCCAGCCAGATGTTTCATTGCCAGTAATGTCAGAACAAGAGAATATTGACCGAATCACCAGAAAGGAGTTAGGTTAGGTATGCAGATTACCAAGATGGTCACCGGCATCAAGTTCTTAAACCTGTACAGGATAACTTTTCACAAGGATTATGGGAAATGCATGTATACCTCAGGGAAGGGGAATCAGTTTTTCAAAATCCATCTCAGGTTCATAAATAACATCTAAATAATGCTAGACATTTGCACGAAATTTTGTGTTGTTTTGTTTTTTGAGATAGGATCTTGCCATGTAGCCCAGGCTGGCTGGGAACTCATGGTCATTTTGCCTGAGTTTCCAGGGCTGGAATTACCACACTCGGCTTTTTTTTTTTTTTCTTTCTTTCTTTCTTTATGAGTTTTTTCCCCATTCATTTCTACGTCTTCCCTCATAAATCTATTAACACAAAGTGATTTTAAAATTTTATAATGATCTCTAAAATTGATCTATTCTTTAGTTATAATCACTAGCAATTACTTTCCATTTCTGACAGCACACCCATGGTGATGGTGGGTGGCTCTCTTGTGATTAACTTCCAACCCCAATGTATCTACACAGCAGACTATGGGATGAGAAAGTAGATGTGCTTCAATACAAAAAAAATATGTAACAGTAACATATTTTTGCTTATTGTTTATTGTACACTGAGTATGAGTTAGTAACCATTTTTAAAAGTATATATTTCTGTCATTTAATCCTTACCCAACCCATTTTTCAAATGGGGACTCTAGCACAGAAAGCTTAAGTAAACTGCCCAAGGTTCTCTATTTAGTGGATGAAGGAACTGGAATTCTAAGGTGTACTAGCTCCAGAACCTGTGCATTTAAATTCTGCTCTGCAGTGGCCATGGAGAAGTTGTGTTAAGATTAGAGTGGTGCAGATTTGGGAATAAAAATATCTCTGGGGCATTTCTGAGTTAGAAGAATTGGAGAGTTGGGAGAGAAAGAAACAGGTGGTAAGAGTGGTTGGTTGGAGTATTTTTTCCTGCTGGCGAGGGGATGCTCAGACTTTCTGAATCCAGCTGCTCTGCTGGTTCCACTTGGCAGGTCTCACACATCTGACAAGGATGTGAAGCACCTGAGCGCTCTAAGGTGCTGGCCAACAGCTGGTGTCACTGCTACGTAGTTACCAGCTCTGGTTTTCCTCCTGCATGAAGTTCATGTTAATTTCTCTTCTGCAAATGTACTGAGTTTGGTGAAGAGGATTAATTGTATGTCTAAGGATAGTCTATGTTTATAGACTGTGCCCTGGTGGGAAGATGGCTCTATGGGCTTCTATCTTATCTCCAGAACAGAGTGGGGATCTGGTTCAACATGGTGTTCACCTATCGACTACTTGATAGTGAGCCGAAGAAAGCTTGTAAGAATTTCTTTGATGGGAGTGAGGAGTGTGATATGGCCAAGGAAACAGACAGGAAACAGGTTCTGTTGGCAGTCAGAAGAAACACTCCCCATGTACACACACACTGCAGGCCAAAAGATCATTTATCCTGGCAGTTGGGCAGCAGCTTCTGTAGATAGATTGGCAGCAGCTTTGCCATTCGTTATCTATCACATTTAGTTAGCAAATTGTTTAGCTTCCTTGGATGTCAATTTTTTCATTTATAAAATAAGGATAGTGCAAATGTCTACCGTTAAGGAGAATAAATGAGAAAATACCTGTAAAATACTTACACGATGTTTTACACTGAGTTGTAATGAATATAACATGGGATTGACAGGAATTGAGAATTACTGACTTCTTACATTGACTCATCTCCATTCCCTTGACTGCTGGCTTAACATCCCTTTAGTCCTACTGAGCAGGGAATTGTTTGAAGGAGTGACTTAGTGGGTAGGGAGAATTGGTACCATCAGATAGAATGTGCCACCATGTAGGGGTCAGCAGTGCATGGGGCCACTTGGGTGGGGACACAAGCAAGTAGCCTTTGTATTGGATGTAGAACAGGAAAGAATCATTATGTTGGTCACAGAGAAGTCTGAGAATGGTCATCATGAGGACAAAGGTCCAGGGAAAGGGGTCCAGGCAAGGATAGAAGAGGCAGGTGAAGATCAGAGGCAGCTGCCATGACTACTCCCAGGCACATAGGGAGTGTCACAAAGGTAGGGACTGTCACAGAGGTGGGCTCTCTGAACAGAAAAAAGCTATCACTGGGAGCTGGGAGGATGGAATCCGAGGGCTCGATCAAGCCAACAGGCTTCTGACAAGGTCGACTTGCTAATAATGATAATGATAATTAATGCATTTTCTGATAGATGAAGGTGGTAGAAAGACCATTGGTAAAACTGAGGGTCATTTGATAAACCTTGGCCATGTGGGAGACACCTCTGGAGCAGGCATCTGCAGCATTTGAACTGATTCTCAGTGGCTTCTGGCACTGGTGTCACCATGAGGAAAATATGCAAATGTCAAAGAGGGGAAGTTTGGCTTCTGTTTCCTGTCCCTCCTTTGGCTTTGCAAATTGGCACCAAGAACTCTCATTGCACCCACTCTGAAAAGGTAGTTGGTTTTCCCTGATGAAGTACAGTGCTTTGAATGGAGTTCTGCATACTAACATTTGAACGATTTTCTTTCCCAGGAGTTGTTTGCATTTTAAAAAGTGTGTTAATCCAACTGAAACCTTGATTGGATAGTGGTGCCTTCAGAGTTGGGTGATGAAGGGTGGTTTTCAGTAGGACATTTCCTTCTTTATGGTGTAATGATATTGTAGGAACACTCAAAGTCTTTTGTTTTTTTATTTATTTAATTTTATTATCTTGTTGTTGCACTGTGACATTTACAAAAGTGCTTACAATATATCTTAGATTCACCCCTCCATCATTCTCCTTTATCTCCACTCTCCCACTCTTAGAATAGTTTCAACAGGTCTCATTTTTCCATTTTCATACATGAGCACAATATTTCCACCATATTTACCCTCCTATACCCTTTCCTTATATCCTCTCCTCCTACTGGTGCCATCCCCCAGACAGGACCTCTTTATCCTCCCTGTCCTCCATTTTTGAAAAAAGACATTTGTGTTTAAGATAGCTATACAGGGAGTTTCACTATGATATTCCATCTATATATGTTTTATATTCTGAACTGGTTCATCCCTCCATTTTTCTTCTTTCAACCTTAGCCTGCTTCTTGTGGTGACTTCAACAGAGTTAAAAATTCTATATTCATTCCTGTATAGAAAGTATATCAACCATATTTATCTTAACTTCCTTCTTTTACCCTCCCCCTGCCATTAGTGCCCCTCCCCTTAGCATGGCCTATTTTTCATTCTTGTCCTTCATTGTTTAGGTGTCTGTTCATTGTTCAATGGGATTTTGCAGGTATGTAGTATACCTGCATATGCATTGTGCTTAGTCAATGTAACCCCCGCTCCACTGCACTTCATCACCCTTTTTCCCCCTATCCTGTGTTGTTTGACAGTTTTCAGCATGTTTCCTTGTGTCTACTCAGAAAAATCTTGCTCACACTTCTACCACAAATCTGCCAACCCTCCTGTGTCTTTAGCCATATCTGTTACAGTGGATGGATGGCCTGGGGTCTCCATTTCTAAGGCCTGCCCCTTCCTAACACCTTACTCACAGTCCCATTTGTCCTGTAAGTACTCATTTCTGTCCCCATTTTCTTTTGGCTCATTCTCAACAATGAATGCAGTATCAACAATAATTTTAAATCATCAAACATTTGAGCAGTTGACCCCCTTCACTTTCATGAGAGACTTGTCAGTTTGGCCTCTGGGAAATACTTTCTCTTGGTTCTCTTCTGATTCTCTGGCCAGTTCTCTTTCTGCCTTGCTGGTTTCTCCTCATTTCCTCAACTTCCAAGCATTGGAATTCCCAGGGTTCAGTCCTAGATATCTTCCGTCTTCATGCACTTCCTTGGTGATTTTCGCTGTCCTCTGGCCTTACATGAAGGACAGCTGATAACTGTCATGACTCCTGGCCTTACATGAAGGACAGCTGATAACTTCATGACTCCTGAAGATATACCTCCTTGTCACACATTTCATGGAATCAACTGTCTCTTCATGATCTCCACTTGGATGTCTAATAAGCATCTTGAACTTCACATAACCACAAACCCCTCATCTTCACCCTGAAACCTGCTCCTTCCCCAGTCTTCATCACCTCAGCAAAGGACAATTCCATTTTTCCAGTTGCTCAAGCCAAATCCTTACATTTGTCCCTGATTCCTCTTTTCCTCAGACATGCCAAATCTAACCTGCAGCCAAATCCATTGGTCTACTTTCTAAATTCCAGTTTGAAATTTTTCACCACTTCTACCACCACTACCTATATTTAAGTCATCATTAGCACTCACATATATTATGGAAATTGCCTTTTACATGAATTTCCTGTCTCCACTCTTGTTATCACTCCTGTCTAGTCACCTTATGTCAGCCTGAATGATCTTTTAAAAATGTATATTAAATGTTAGCTCTGCATAAATCCCTCCAGCAGCTTCCCACCTAATTTGTAGCAAAATACAAAGCACTTGATACCATCTGAGAACCCCTTATTTCTCTGCCTCTTTGCTCCCCACTCATGCTCCTCCTCATGCTCCTCCCCCTTATCCTCAATGCACTGGCTTCCTTACTGCTCCGAGCTTACTCATGTCCTTCTTCCTGGCCCTGGCAGAAACTGCACCTCTGCCTGGAAAGTTCTCACCACAGGTATTCAACCTATTCGCTATCTGTGTTGGTCACCTATTGCTGTGTAACAAAGCAGCCCAAAACTTAGTGGCCTTAAAACAATCAAATCTTCATCTTACTCATAACTCCTCAAGTTGGGTAGGGCTCTGAAAGGATAGGCTGAGCTCTGCATCCCTGTAGCTGAGTGTCTGGGTTTGCTCACTGCCGTGCCTGAGAATTGAAGTTGCCTGTCCCAGGGACCTCAGTGGGAGTCCCAGGCACCCACATCTGGTCTTCCCATGAGGTTGCTTAGCTTCCTCAGAGTGTCAATTGAGTTCCCAGGGTGAGCATCTCAAGAGGACCTCTCATAAGTAAGCTTCAGTCATGTAACATCCCTTACACTGTAAGTCAAAGGCCCATCCAGACTCAAAGACAGGGACATAGACCTTTACGTCCTGATGGAGGACAGCAGCTCTCACAGGGTAAGGAGGGTACATGTGTTGGGAGGTAGAGGTGTGGCCCCTTTTTTCTCACCCTTTTCTGATAAACTAATATAAAATGAACTCCCTTGGGAAGACTCTTAATTTTCTTTACAAAACTCTTCACCACACCTAAGTGTTCCATAGTAAGTAAGTAAGCCTGCTTGATAGCATGCACCTGTAATCCCAGACTTGGGAGACTGAAGCAGGAAGATGGACAGTTCAAAGCCAGCCGGGGCTACAAGGTGAGACCCTGTCTCAAAAAAAAACAACACAAAAGAAAATTAGAAGACTATAAAGTGCTAAATAAATGAATAAATCGTCACTACAACAAAGAAGATGGTGAATAATATTTGAGAGCTTCCCCTTTTGCCAGGCACTAGGAAAAACACTGATACATAGTATCTTTCTTCATTGTCCCGACAACTTTGGGAGGTATTATGGTTCTTATGACTACCCCTCTCCAATCTTAGAAAATTTACAGCTGGCAAGAGGTGGGACTAAAGTTCAAAGCCAGGCTTTTAGTCACCAAATACTTCTTTGTGACACTGCTGGATGTAGATGAGGTGAGCCAAAGCACATGTGCTCTTCTCCACCTCAGGCTTGGAGAACAGCCAGCTTGTCATGATCACAATCACTACTACCATAGATCTAGTCACGGCTGTGGGATCCAGGACATCCAGGGCAAAGGTCCTGGGGGCAATGAGTGGGTGTGTCCATGTCATTTACTTTTCCCTCCACCTCCTGTTTTCTTTCCAGTCTGGGTGACTGTCGATGCCATCTCTGTGCAAACTCCGCAGAACGTTTTTAAGGCTGCCCGGGGAAAGAGTGTCACTCTTCCATGCACCTATTCCACTTCTGCGCCAGACCGAGATGGATTTATTCAATGGGATAAGCTTCTAAGGAGTCACTCGGTAAGGCTCTTTAAAACGCTGGGGGCATTATGGGAATGAGTGTCACCTGACCATGACCTCGCAGAAGGCAAGCACCATGAAGTCCTTCAATAAGTGTTAGCTACAACAAGTGGAGGTGGCAGGGAGAGCAGTGAATGTAGGACCCAGGGAAAGCCCAACTGGATCATCTTTATTTTGAAAAAGTCATCTGCCCTAAAATATCTCTCTGTTGGCCAGTCTCAAATGACCTAAATTGTACCATTCAAGGCAGTATAGTCCTCACTTTGAGGCAAAATTTCATTCCAGGGAGGTTTTTTTCCCTCTGACTTCTTTTGGAGAGTTTTAAGGAATTTTGTTTTATTTTTTATTTCTATTTTTAAATAGATAATCCCATGGTTTGAAAATCAAAACATTGTAAGAAGTGTATGTTGAGAAGTCTCATTCCCATTCCTGAACCTTCTGTCCCATCCATTCTGCTCCTATACACTAATTCTTCTATCTGCTACCTCCAGGCAAGGTATATACAAGCATATATATGTATATATAAATGTACACATATGAACAGTATATAATACTGTTTGCACATGGTTTCTTTCTGTTAAACATATATTTTGGGCTTTTCCCATATTTTAGCATATTTGTAATCTATTATGTGTACACACACACGTGCTCTGGGGATCAAATTCAGGGCCTCTTGCATGCTAAGTGTGTGCTGTACCTCTGACATACACCCTCAGTTCGTATCTCATTTGAAAATATTTGCAAAAAGTGTCCCATTTTTATGAAGGTATGCTATGTACCTTCAAGTGCCGATGGATACTTGTTTCCTGTATTTTGCTGCTACAAATAGTGCTGCAATAAACATAAATATCCATATACATGTCTCTGAATATATACATTACATATAAAATTATTAAAAGTGGTTCTTCTGGGTCAAAGGCTGTGTTAATTAAAATTTTGAATAAGTAATGTCAAATTTTTCTCACATTTCTTATCAATCTTCATTTTTACGAACAACAGTGAAGGGCACCTTTTTCTCCAACAGTGTTCTCAAAGTGTTTGCTATTTGCCAATTTGATAAGGGAACAAAGTATCATATTCATGACCACATTTGAATTTCTTTGATTATAAGAAGTAAAGCATCTAGTCATAAATTTAAAAGTGAGGTATTCTTTTAAAATGCTAGCAAGCCTGTCAGACTCAAGCATTAGGTCCCCAACAACTCAGAGAGAAAGGATTCAACTGTGTCCTTGTTGGGAAAGAGGGGGTCCCAGGACACCCTAGAGAGCAGCAGGACTGATGGGAAAGGAGAGTTAGTCTCCGTGGATGCATCAGATACCCTGATGTGCCAGAACCATGTGTCCTTTGCTCCAAGGGCAAAAGCCTCGTGCTGCTTTAGCCCAGAGAACTGAAGAACACCTTCCTTCCCCATCAGATGTACCCAGCAAGCCAAGATGCAAGGTCTATGGCTGGCATTTCCTGGGTGCTGGTACACCCTTGGGTTATTCATTGACTGATGGATCCCCTACTTCCAAAAGGATTTGAGGCTACTCCCTGGAGACCAAGCAAGAATACAGAGAAAGGCATTAAATCTGTTCCCTTAGGGAGATTATTGTGACAGGTCCTAGCAAGGGGTGTGGTCAGGAGGAGATCCAGGGAGGAAGCCTTAGGGAGGGTGGTGGGTGGAGAGCCTGGGGCAGATACAGCCAGGATCAGGAAAGAGCTGAGCTGGAAAAGACCAGCATCCATGGACTGGCCCACAGCCCAAAATGCCTCCTCATCTCCCACCTTGTTTGTCCTCTCCATTTCAGCCACATGTCCTGAGAGAGGTGTCTGCCCTACCAGGGCTGTCATGTGTGGTTGGGCACAGGGTGTCCTGTGCTTCCATTAGCCAAGCTGTGTGCTCTGACACAGGTTATGTTTGTTGCAAAAACCAGAGCCTGTTCTTTTATTTTTAACTCTCTCTCTCTTATTTCTCCTTTTACTTTATTGATTTTACATTTACTTACATGTGCATATGTTGTTTGTCAGAGCCTTGTTTTGATTTGCACATGAGGCTCAGACCTGACGATGCATCTCCACCTTCTTTCCTCTGCCCATTGTGCTCTTGCTTCTGTTCCTAACACTCTCCATCTCACTTGCAACCACGTTCAAATCTTGGAGTCATCTTCCTTGGCTTTCTAGCAGTCTTGGCTTAGCTTTTCCTCTGAGCTCTCTTTGACCCTTTGAACAAGGTGACTTAGGAACTTGCCATTTTTCTAGTCTTTTACCTTGGGTGGCTCCATCTAGCTCATGTCTCAGTGAACACATCCATGTCAATGACTTCTGAATCTTCATCCCCAGTTGCACTTGGCTGATCCGAATGGCCCCTACTGAGTTCCTTCAGTTGGGTGTCCTAATGTGTTTTAAGCACCCCACATATAGACAGGGCACATTTATTTTCCTTAAAGCATTCTCTTCCTGTGCATTTCCTCTCTTGGGAAGGACATCACCCAAATATCCAAGCTGAAACCCCTCACCATTGAGGTCTGTCAACTCTACATTAAACCCATCTCCAAACCTCATGGACCCTACCTCTTTCATACTCCTCAAACTCATTTCCTCTTCCTCTTCACATTGCCACAACCTGATTCTTGATAGTCCACCATTTTTCACTTGAATTAAACTGATTTCTTAACTGCTCCCCTTTCTCATTCCAATTCATTTGCACCCTGTATGAAGAGCTACTTTTCTTAAACTCATGACTCCCTAGTACCTTCAAAATAAAATGCAAACTATTTACTCCCCTCTACACAATGTCTGAGACCTGCACTGTAGACTCTCCAGAGTTCAGGCTTTGGAGTTAGAATGCCCAGTTCAAATCTCAGTTCTGCCATTTAGTTAAACGTGTGAGTGTGGGGAAGTACCTAACCTCTTGGCACCTTGCTTTCCTCATGTGGAACGTGGAGATAATCATAGGACCTAGTACATGGGAGTGCTGTGTGGGTTAAATGATATAACACAGACCAAGTGCTTAGCACAGTGCTCAACACACAACATATACCCAATAAATAGAAGCGGTGATCTTCATTGCTATCTGCCCAAGTTCACCTCTCACCAGTCCCTCCCTCATTCCTCATACTGAACCACTTGGGGTTGACAGGTTGCTTTCCACTTCTAGGTGCTTCCTGTAATTCTCCCTTTCCCTGAAATGTCCAATGCCTAACACAATGATCCTGTTCCAACACACACAGCCCCAATCCCCCTAGTCCTTTACCTGGTTAATGCTTAGTTGTTTTTCAAGAGCCAAGGCAACAATTACCTCTTCCAGGAAGCCTCCCCTGACTTCCCAGTCTCGAAGTGATACCTTCCAGAATCCCATAGCCAATTATAAGATATCATAATGCTTGGTTGCCTATCCCTATTATTCCAGAACTTGTGGGTTATTCATCCTTAAATGCCAGGCACCTAGTAGATACTTAGGAATAATAATAGCTAGCACTTAAATACACTTACCATGTCACAAGCCCTAACTGTTTTGCATATGTGTTAATCCTCACTACAGTCCTGTGAGATAGGTGCTATTAGCATCTCCATTTTATAGAAGAGCAAATGGAGTCAAGAGAGGTTATGCATTTTGCTCAAGTTCATTAAACTAAGAAAGTGGAACTGCAATTTGAACTGAGGCAGTCCCGCTTGAATGTCTGTGGGTTTAGCCACTGCCATGCTATTTGATAAATGGTGAGTATATAAAAACATGAATTCTGAGGAAAAGAGTCAAGAAAATAAAATGAGCTTGGAAGCCAAGGTGGTTACCCAGAATGATGCCTGGTGTGTGGCAGGAGCTCAGTTGGTATTAGTTAAGCCAGATGTGGTGGTACACACCTATAATCTTAGCTATTAGGGAAGTGGAGGCAGGAGGATAGAGCATTTGAGGCAAGCCTGGGTGAAGTTATTGAGACCCTATCTCAAAAACAAAATAAAAAATCAGACAGGCCTGGGGGTGTGATGTAAAGCCTTAGGTTCAATCCCCAGTACTGCAAATAACATAAAACAAAATCAAGTATTGAATGAATGAGAATAGACAGTGGACTGACATGGAATCAAGGAGAAAGATGCCAGCTGTCACAAAGGTGAGTCTTGGGATCTCAGACTTCCCTCATTTACTCACAGGTGTTCCCATGGTATGAATGGCTTACCAGCCAAATAACTCAATATTTTCATCTAAAAATAAGAATTTAAAATATAGAGATAAGATAATAGAAGGAATCCACTGATGGGCACCACACATCTCTTCCAGGGGTCCATGTACTTGTGCATCTGGGCTCTGGGAATGGTGGATAAGGACAGTCAGGCCTTAGGGTGAGGACGAAGGGGCATTTCTTCTTCCTTTCAGGAAAGAGTGCTCACCTGGAAGTTCTTGGACAAAAGCTACATCTATGGGAACCTTTATGAGAACCGTGTCAACATATCAGCCAAAGCTGAGCAGTCAGACGCCTCTGTTACTATTGATCAGCTGACTATGGATGACAATGGGACCTATGAGTGCTCTGTCTCCCTGATGTCAGACCTGGATGGTACCTCTAGGTCACGCATCTGCCTCTTGGTCCTTGGTGAGTGTCTCCTTTTCTTTCCTGAATTGTGGGAAGAGGACACAGTTGGCAGAATTTCCTGAAGTAGTTAAGATACAGCCATAAAGCCTGGGTCAGTCATGACTGACAGGGAGCTCAGCCTCCTCCCAGCCCAGCAGGTCTCAGGGCCTGACCACTGTTCCTCTCTGTGGAACTGACTGTCTGAGTTCTCCTCCAGTGGCCTACTGTTCCCAAGGGCAGAGAAGGCAGATTTGGAGTGGTTCCAAATGTGATGTTCATTCCTCACACAACTCTTTTCTTTTCATGCCAAGCTCATTAAAGAGAAGAAAAAGCGAAATCCCAAGTCCGGTGGTAGACTCTCATTGTGCCTTGATTGGTGCACAGAGGGCCCCATCATGACTCTTAGAAGCACTACACCTTTCCCTGTCATAAATTCAGCTACCCAGTGAAGCCCTTTGGCTGCCATCTCCCCACCCCCACCCCCCAACAGACTCACCTTTGATCAACTCCTACTGCCTTTGAAGTATGTTTCAAGATAATATTTTTCTCATACAAATAACATATTGGAATTTGTGGTTTTGGAAGGATCAGGAAAATCATCTACTTTAATATTCTTATTATGTAAATGAGGCCAAGAAAAAGGAAGCAACTGCCTCAAACCAGTTCTTGGAAAAACTTCTGTGAACACCTTGTAGACTTGCAGTGTAAAAAGTGGCCTTTGAGAGCTAGCAACTCTCCAATCCAAAACAATGGATTCTTTTTCCTTTTCTCTTTTTTTCCTCTTTACATTACTTGATTTTATTTATAATTGCATAAGGTAGTTGCTGGATTTTTTGCAAGCATTATAGCGAGTCAAGCTATGCAGCTATCCAACTGGTACTGCATAAAGAATAATTAAGAGCACTCCTGCTACCCTGTGACTGTCTATGAGGTAGCCAAAGGTAATGTAGGTAGCTTTCTTCCAGATTTCTCCTGGGTCCTTTCAACATGCACACACACTCATATAATTTTTCCCCTCTTTCCTTTAAAAAATGGGATTATAAGAATCACTTGCAATTTGTTTTTTCTTAACAAATTCCATGCACATTTCTCCAGCTCAACATGTATAGATCGACTGCAGCAACATGAGTCTCATCGTGGGGATGTGCTGTGATTTGCTTCAAGCATTTCATACTGACGGATATTAACTCTGCTTCCATTTTATTTTGTATAAACAGTACTACAGTATACCCCTTCTCCCGACAGGTATATATGCATAGACTTTTGGGGTCCTCTAAACAGCTCCTATACCTTTTTGGCAAAGTGTTACAGCGGATTGTGAATACGGTAGCAGGAACCCAGTATGAATGCCTGATTCGCCCCACACCCCTCCATCCCAAGGGCCAGGTGCATTTTAAGAGGAACAAGTGAACCTGAAGCGCAAAGGATGCAAGTTTAATTTGAGACTATGGAACGAATGTTTTGCCTTTCTTTTTCTTTCTTTCTTTTTTTTTCTTAAGAGGGAGATTATATTTTCCTACATGTTAGTAAATCCAGTAAAATTCTTTTTAAAAAGGTTCTTTCCAAATGGCTTTATGGCAGGGCAATGTTTTTAAGCAGAAGGGTTTTAATTGTATTGGGTGGCCAATTCTGGGCCCGCGGGCAGGGAACCCCTCGGCCACCCAGTCTAGGTCAAGGCCAGGAAGCCACCTGGCCCGGGGACTCGGACCCTGCGCTGCAGGCAGAATCGACGGTATCCCCGGCCTTTGGCACCACCTGGCGTCTGCAGCGGGAGCCACAGGTGGCGGAGAGGCCTGAGGGCCAACACTCCCGACTCTCTCCCTGTGATTTCTCCCTTGGGAAATACTCAGGTGACATCTACGTTCTGCGTAGAAGGTAAAACCGGCCACCTGAGAGTCAGAGAACAGGACCCCGAGGTCACACCCCCATCATGTGTGGCTATTCGAAGTACATCTGTCTGATCCGAGGTCCCGGTTATTTTATGGTCTGCGCTGAGGAGAGACCTTCAGTGAAGGATCTGGACAGAGTGAGGGCACGGGAACCCTGGGATGAGGGAGGTGGAAAGGAAGTTGGGGACCTGAGTTTAAAGAACCTGCTGCGTCCCTCCTGAAAGGTGATCTCCTGGGGCAGGGGGATGGCTGGTCCCTTGTTTGCCATCACTTCAACATCTACCTCTGGAGACAAGTCAGGTTTGCCCACGTGCTGGGATGGGGAGGCTGGCCTGTGCTCTGTAGATGCCAACGGCCTCTGTTCCTAACTCACCCGGCACAGAAGAGTTCTACTGCCAGTGCGACACACTTAGTGTGATTTTGAGTGGTGTGGGACTTTCCCTGGGGGTGTTGGTGTTTAGAGCCAACTCTCCAACTGTGACTTAAAGTCTGAGGCTGGGGGCGAGGGACAAGGGCTGAGGTAGTGGAAGGCTCAGAGCTCAGAGGGAAGCTCACATTCTCTGTCCCCCAGGGACCTGCTTACCAGGCCAGCAGGTAGCAGGAAGTTTCTGCTTAGTGGTCCTTAAGACTCCTCCACCCCACACTGCTGCAGTCCCAGGGCCCAGGCCAGCACATACACTGCTGGCTTTGACCTCCCAGGATGCTGAAGTTTAAGGGCTTCTTGCTGGGAGTGGCAATAAGGAAGTACCTCTAATTTGTTCCGTGCTCACCCCTCACCTGGCTGGTCCTCACTATGGTAGCAGAAGTCAGGCACACCCAACAACAGCCAGGCTATTTTCAAGAAGAAACACGGCAGCTGTGGAGCTGGAGGGGTTGTGTACTCGACAGCATTTCCCCAGCAGTTTCCAGGTGTGCTGAGATTGGAATTGACTCTCAGTACACAGTGACTGTGCACCAGGATGACAGAAGTGGCACCACTGTTTATCAGGCAAGCAAACAAGCCGCTCAAGGGGGTATGTGAAGAAAGAAGCAGGCGCAGGCCTGCCACTTGGGGATTTCAGTACTAACTCTCTCCATTGTGTGTTCTCCTGTCTCCACCCCCAAGGACACTGCCTGATGTTGCAAGCACTTCATGGTGCTGCTTGTCTCTGTGCCTTTGCACATGCAGTTCCTCTGTCTGGAGTGTCCACCTCTTCTTTTCTGATTCCTGCCACCACCTCCACCATTGGCCTTCTTTACTCCCCTTCAGGTCACAGCTAATGTGACTGGGTCAGTGTGTGAGCTTTCCCGGCCCCAGCAGCCTTTCCTCCTGCCTTGCCATTATTGGATCACAGCTTTTGCCCCTACTGGAGTCCTTGGCTCATACCCCATGTCATCGCAGTGCCCAGCGCTGTTAGTAGGCACAACATGGTGCCTAACAATGTTTGCAGAATGCTCGCTTCACATGATGGTGTGTTACCAAGGCTGAGGGAAAGCACAGCCTCAGGCCTCAGGATGGCTGGGGAAGATTGAGAGTTGATGGAAGCCTGCTGGATTTTGTCACCTCCTTTCTGTGGATTCCCTTTCCTCAGCCGTGTCCCCTCTGTCTCCTCTCAACCCTTCAGTCCCATTCTCCACCCAATACAAAAACTGCAGCTGCCTGAGGTCTCTTCTATCATCCAGTGTGTGCCTTCAGCAGCAAGGCCATGGGGACAGGGTAGTGCAAAACCCAAGGAGAACATTTCTTGAGACGTTGTAGGGGAAGGGCTTTAGAGATGCCCTCATCCAGGGGCAGGCAGTCTATGGCTAAATCAGGCTGTGGCCTGTCTTTGCAGTTCTAAAGTATTATTAAAAAAGAAAAAGAAGTAGCAACAGAGACAATATGTCATCTGGCCCTTTACAGAATGCATTTATTATCCTCTAATTTCAGAGTCCTCTATGGGATCTCAGAGATGAAGGCTTTCCTCTAAAATGGCACAGTTGAGTCAATGACAAGAGGAGTTCATATGGTTTGGTGGTGTCACTGGGTCTGCAGTCAGAAGACCTGGGTTCTAGTCCCTCCTCTGCCAGGGCTCAGTGAGCAAGTGTCCCCTCATGTTGGCATATTTTTAAACTCTCACAACTCTAGAGAACAGATGAAACTATACCTGTGAAGACACTAGCAGTCCCAAATGCTGACCATGCATTCACTGCCTTTCTGAGAGGTGACAAGAACTGAGGAGCTATTTTGGGAGAATTAGTTTTATGTTGTTACATCTCACCACTATGCTGTGAAGTTCTTTGCCTGTGAACAAACAAGTCTGTGTGTGTGTGTGTGTGTGTGTGTGTGTGAGA